ACTCCCCTCCCATCCCCTCCCTTCCCAACCTTACTTCCTCTACCCACTTCGGGATGTCCCAGTGGGAAAGCCTTTCATGAGGACTTCGAGTGGGGCTCTAATCGCAGTCCCACCTCTAACTTTAACCCTCTGAGAGATTCAGTTTATCCTTCCAAAATGCAACAAACAGCCTCTTTTTCTTCGCCTCTCTGTGTCCTCCTGGTAAAACAAGGAAAGTGGACAAGTCGTTTTTCTCCAAGTGTTACCCCAGGAGCTATGAGAATCCCACCTAGAACTGTCCTTGGAACCTCTGGGGGTTGGGGCTCCGGAATCCTTATTTTAACACGCTCTGCCATGGGATTGTAGGCACATTAACATTTGAGGCTCCCTGGAGTCTTTTATTGCTAAGGGACCTTCCGATGCCACATTCTGGGATACTGATTGGGGAATAGGTACCCTTCCTACTGAGAAATAGTTTCAAGGGGATTAGCAACTTGAAAACATTCTTTTTTAAAAAATATATTTTATTGATTTTTTAAAGAGAGGAAGGGAGAGAGATAGAGAGTTAGAAACATCGATGGGAGAGAAACATCGATTAGCTGCCTCCTGCACATCTCCTACTGGGGATGTGCCCGCAACCCAGGTACATGCCCTTGACCGGAATTGAACCTGGGACCTTTCAGTCCGCAGGCTGACGCTCTATCCACTGAGCCAAACCGGTTTCAGCAACATTCTTATTTTAGTCAAATGGGCGACAGACTCTTCCCAGTAGCCCTAATGTTAACGTTTTTATCACATATGGTTGCATTAGAGCATATCATTGGTTAGACCACACATGGATTTCTCTTCTAATTAGGATCCCAGAAATGAAGATAAAAGGGCCAACTTCCTCATCCTGATAAAGCACCTCACGCATTCCTCTTTCTAGCTACCTTTCATCAGGCGTTTGTGAAACTCAATTAACGTTTGTCGAGCTCCTCAAGGCCTCCTACAGCAGCACCTAGAAAAGCAAAGGATCTAATTATAGGAGACGCCTTCATTATTGATTATCCACTAACAGTTTCTCTTTCCCTTCTGTTGGCCGTTGGCCTGCCCTGTCCAGGCTGCCAGGAATTGCCTAGTGGGAGAAAACCAAGTCATCAAGGTGTCGGACTTTGGGATGACAAGGTAACTCGGGGAATGGTGTCGGCACAGCCTCAGGAGGGGGACTCAGGCCCCCAGAACATGCCGACATGCTCTCTCCGCTCTCTTCCCAGGTTTGTCCTTGACGATCAGTACACCAGCTCCACAGGCACCAAGTTCCCGGTGAAGTGGGCGTCCCCGGAAGTCTTCTCCTTCAGCCGCTACAGCAGCAAGTCGGATGTGTGGTCATTTGGTGGGTGTCGCCTGGCCCAGAGCCACGGGATCTGAGTCTGCTTGCCCTTGAACTCTGGATGGGAGGGAGTCCCACTGGTAGTCTGTGTGTAATAATGGCTCTAAAAAGCATGAATTATATTTATTCTAGAGATCTTTGAAACTAGGGTAAAATATGAGAGTGGGAACAGGATTCTGGTGACAGCTGCTGTGAGATCCAAAGATGGAGGAGTCAGGAGACTAGAATCCTTGAGGATCAGAACCAGATTTTGTCCAATATTATATTTCCTCATTTAATCCTCAACAACTACTTATTTATTCAGCAACAATTTATAGAGCATCTACTGTATGCCTGGGCCTAATGTAAGAGGTCACAGTACAGTAATGGATAGTACAGCTCACAGTACAGGAAAGACTGCTCTTGAAGCTAAAGTTGAGGAGGAGACAGATAACAATTATGTAAACAAGCTAATCCACAAAGTCAGGTAGTGATAAGTAAGTGCTATGAATAAGACAAAGTAATGGGGTGGAGAGTAACAGGGATGGAGAGAGGGTCTGTTTTAAGTACATGATCTGGGAAGGCCTCTCTGAGGAGGTAGCTCTTGGGCACCTGAATGTTGAGAGGAAGCTGTCTCCACCTGCAGGGTTTTGTCCTAATTAGCTGTAGTGTTTTAAGCAGTCCAGTTTGAGCCTTCCTGAAGTTTCTCATCAATGCCTTACAAGGTCCGCATGGAAGCAATTGTTTTCAAACCAGCATTGAGTCTCAGACCCCAATTTTCCAAAAAAATCTCACTAGAAATCCTGGCATCTTGGGATACTGAGCATTAAATGAGGAAATATTATATTTCCTCATTTAATCCTCTATAACTACATACTGTCTAAATAACTATTTAATCCTCAATAACTAAATACTGTCTTATTTACAGATAGATTCTGAATTTCCAAAATGCCTGAGGCATTCCTAAGGATCCTTTGGAATCCTGATCCAGAGGCCTGGACGGGGGCCCAGGATCTAGCATTTGAGGCAACTTCTGGGGTGATATTTATTCAGATGTTTTGGAGATGCTGCTTTGAAAAAATCTGCCCTAAGGCTCTCTAGAATATGTTCTGAAAACACCTGGGCCGCCATCCTCGAGGAATGTATTAGCACATGATAAAGCTGGGTGTGACATTTCTACTTTGAGCAGAAGAGGAAAAGGAATTAAATCAGGTGGTCGAAATGGACAACCTGAAGATGTCTTTGGCTTGGTCTACACAGTATTCTTAAAAATCAAATGGAATTGATATTTAAAACTCTCAGTATATGACGTCTTTTGGAAAATCAGAAAATGTGATAATCCTGAGCCCTCATGTGTTCTGTTTTGCTGGAGCTGAATCACAGCTGTCTCGATAAGACAGAACTTTTGCTCCCCAGTTTTCCACAGTCCCCACTAGTCCCTATTACACACCTCACCCGCTTCACTCATTTATGTCACGTGTAGACATTTGAGTTTATGTCCCCTGCAAGTTTTAGTAGTAGCATTTGAGTTAGATGTAACAGGGGGCTGAGCCTGACAACTCTTCACCACTAAGAAGGTTGGGAAATCTCTGTTCTTTAGAAATAGTACAGCCCTTTTAGAGGATGAGTCAGCAGGGATGCATGAAATAGATGAGCAGGAAAGTGACTCTGAGTGTCTACTAACTAGAGAGATCTGGCAGTGACCTGAAATATCATTTGATTTGCTACATAATGTCACAAGCCATCAACACATTGTCAGAGAGAACGAGGGAGTGAAGCGTATGTTGGTATTTCAGTTTCCTAAGTGGGGGGAAAGCATTTGTGTAACATTGTAAAACCGCTGTATGTACGTAAAGTTAGTTCTCTAAGTTGGGGATCAGAAGTTCACGTGTGCTGAGAAAATATTAAAATGACTTAGAGTTCATTTTACTCATGCAGCAATTCAGAAAGGGAATCAATTACTCTTCACTATCCCAGATATCTCAGTGATCCACGTTTGGGTTATAGGCTGTGCCTTGAACCACATCAGCATGAGCCTTAGATGTCCTTTGGTGAGCTAGGAAATGGTAAATTTCAACCAAAGTTGAAAGTTGCTGAAATAGGGAGTTAATACAAATTCAGATCATTGAAGGGAAACAAGGTAGAATTGACAAACTATAGAATACTTGGGTTTTGTCTCAGCATTGCCCTGTCTTAGTCATTAATCTTAGACAATTCTCTAAACCTGCTCTTTCTTGCTGGTAGAGAATTACATAATACTTGATTTGTAAATTGATAGAGCTAAGTTCATAGATCTTTTATAATCAGAAACAAAGAAACAAACAAACAAGGTCACAAAACAAATCTAGTCCATTTCACAAGGGCTGAATGCTATAATAATTATGATAGATGATATTTATTTAGCACTTTTTCTCTTCTTTAACCTGATAAACATTATTGTTACGAAGTTTTAGATTTACAGAAAAATTGAGCAAATAACAGAATTCCCACATACCTTTCCCCTGTGAATACCATTTTGCATTAGTGTAGAGTATTTATTATAATTAATCAACCACTATTGGTACATTACTAACTGACATCCATCATTTACATTAAGGTTCACTCTTTGTGTTGTGCAGTCTTATAGGTTTTGAAAAATCTATAATAATAAAAGCATAATATGCTAATTAAACCGAATGACCTTCTGGGCAACCTTGCAGATGACCATGCTATGACATCAACTGGGGCCAGGCCAGCCAAGGCGGGTGCAGTGCAATTGGTCAGGGGCCCGGCCATCGCCCTATGATCGCCCTGCAGAGGGAGGCCCAGGCCACCGACCAGCAGGCTGCAGTGGGTCGGTGGCCTCCCTCTGCAAGGGAAGCCCAGGTCCTGGGTGCCTGAGGGGAGCTGGTGCCGGCAGCCGGGGGAAGGAAGGTCTACCCTTGCACGGATTTTGTGCATCGGGCCTCTAGTGTATAATGTTTCTACCATTATAGTATCATACAGAATAGCTTCACTGCCCTGAAATCCACCATGCTTCACCTTTATTTATCTTTTCTCCCCTTCTCCCCGAATCCCTATCATCTATTGATCTTTTTATTATCCAAGTTTTGCCTTTTTTAGAAGGTCATCTAGTTGGAATCATACAGTGTATAGCCTTTCCATATTGAATTCTTTTACTTAACAATATGCATTTAAGGTTCTTCCATGTCTTTTTGTGGTTTGTCCACTCATTTATTTTTATCACTGAATACTATTCCATTGTATGGATAGTCCACAGTTTGTTTACCCATCCACCTACTGAAGGACAACTCGATTGCTTCCAGTTTTTGGCAACCATGAATAAAGCTGTTATAAACATTTGTGTGTAGGTTTATGTATGGACATAAGTGTCAGCTC